AAACGAAATGAGGGAAATGAAAAACGCGAACCAGATACCCTTTAAATGATCTTCAAGGAGGATATCCATCCTAGAGTAAACTAAGTATGAGCCACTCAGCGATTACAGGAGCATCAATATGTTACCCCCTCCCCTCTTACAACAGCATTTCCCTTCTTTGGTTATTCCCTCCTTTAAAAATTAAAATTAAAACCAAATACACAGGGTCAACCGAGAGACAAGAGAGCGGAAAACCTAGTGGAATGAAGGGAAAGAGAAGCAAAGAACCGTTCAACCGATAGACAGATAGCAGCAGCATAAATTGACAAGGGGGCCAACGAGAGGGGGAACGAGAGAGAGTGAGCGATTGAACGCACAGGGAAACGCAACGAGGGAGTGCGAGAGCACATACGCATGGCGAGGGTGGGGTGGGGTGGGGTGGGGGGGGTGTAGCGTCAGAGCAGAGCGACGCGTCGCGTCGTGTGAAGCAACAAGGCCCCCAAGTACATAATTTCGAAATGAATATGGCGACAAAAGAATTTTAAATAAGTATGTATGTACACGCGTGTGCATGTTGTAAAAGTGTATGTATGTATATGCATGTTATTTTCCTCCATTTTCGGTTCCTAAACGGAAACAAGCGATAATAAAATATTTACAGCTACAACAACAGCAGCATTGATTCAAATGAACAGCAGCGACAACGCTAGCAGCACTGCCTCTGCCAGCAGCACTGCCTTAGGTCACATGTAAAAAGGGACAAAAAGTAATAAGCAAACTAAAGCAAAATCAAAGGCACCAAAGCGTTTAATAAGAGAATCATAAAATTTATAGCAAAAACAACAAAAATGTGGGCAACGAAAAACCCAAAAGAAATGGAAATAAAAAAGAAGAACCGCAAGAACTCAACTCAGCTTCAATAATGCACGCCGGCAGCGACGTCAACGCTGTGCTAAAATGTGTGTGTGTGTGTGTGTAGGGGGAGGAAGCTGCGTTGATGCTGCTCTGCTTCGATGTTCTGCTCTGCTGCCGGCAAAATGCCGCGCGACACAAAGCACAGTGGATCGTGTTATGGCCTTGTGTGGGCGAAAAATAAAATCTATGGATTGCGTATGCAGAGATTTACGAAACAAAACATGTGTATGTGTAGCAATAGGGGGGAGAATAGGGGGATGTGTATATGTACATGGAATGAATGTATGCACGTAAATATAATTGCAACATAGAATCATTACAGAGTACATTTCCATTTCCATGCGTACACATCTTGGTCAAGTGGTTTATTATGAGTGGACTGCAATGAGGGGAGGGCTTTATTAGACCACTGGCGTACAATATTCCCCACCTACTGCACTTAATATAGTTGAAAACTTTTTACTTTCCAGAATCCATTATATCACCCACTGTACGTGGTCTTGTGCAAGCTTTGCACTTTTTTTTATTTTTGTTTTGCTTTATATTTTTGCACCCGCCCACTGGAGACCAGTCTCTAGATCTTTCTCGCTTTACAGCATTTCCGGTATCCATTAGATCAATCACTGCATTTTCCACGAATTTCCTTCTTAGTCACACTGTGCCAAATGCACGAACAAACGCACTGCACTCCCCGCAACTGCGAGTGTTGGAGCGAGACAGTAAGACAGATCTGCCATTACAATCTGTTCGGCGTGTGTGCGTGTGAAAGGGTAAATGGAACGAATGTGCGTATTCAGTTCCAATCGTGTGTTCGTGTGTACATATAGTGGCAATGTAATTAAAAAGAGTTGAGCAAATATTTGACGAACGTGCAGAAGCAATTAAAAGGGTCTGAGAAACAGGGAACAGTGAGAACAGGAAAGGACCCCGATATCATCGGCCAAAGGAGTCGCAAAGTTTTAGTCGAGTCAGCGATGTGGGTGAGAGAGTGGAGGGGTGCAGCCGAATGATGACGCACATACGAGCCGGCAAAGAGCCAAAATAACAGCAACACCGCACCAGACGGGGGCGGTGAGTGGGGGGAGACAGTCGAAACGAAAATGCTGAATGGAGAAAAAAAAAAACTACAACTACTAATACTACGAGAGAGTCTGTGGTATAAACAAAGATGCGGCACAGAAATTGAAGACCAAGTAAACAGTAATAAAAGCTGATTTCCCCTCGTCCACCACCTTCCATACTCCTCTTCCCTTTATCACTTTAAGTTGCTTCCCCCATTTCGATTGAACATTTAAGCAAATAAACTTCTGTCGATGCAGGCGGCACCCCCACACCCATTCCAGAGGCAAAGACAAAACCGAAAACGCATTAACATTAACTGCCAAAAGCAAAAACAAACAAATCTTCAGCTCTCTGCCGCTGTCTTGGCTGGCACTGACTTTGCGTTTTATTCTCGTCAAAAAACGGTGCTTTACGGAAAAGGAGGGGGTGTTGGTGGGCCAGCTGGATGGCGGTATTTGTGTGTGTTTTCTTGTCTGTTATTCCTCTTACCACTTCGAACGTTTACGTCCCGCTGTTGCTTCTGCTCTCTGCTCCCTTTTTTCCACTTCTTCCACTTTTCTCAATTAACAAAAGGCACTTTTAATTATTGCTTCATTTACCCCACAAATGCTTCACTTCTCTATATATACAATATGTATGTACATATATGTACACAACAGTTGTGTTGTTGCAAGGAACTTAATAAACGACGCAACAACAGCACACACAGCAAAAAAAAAAAAGAAGACAAAAACGAGCTTAAATCGTAACGCAAAATCAAAAAATAAAAACCGAAAAATAAACTGAAATAATTGTGAATTTCAATTTCCGCGCGCGCTCTTTTTACACAATTTTTATCTTTGCGGTCCCGTTTTTTCGTTTGCTACTCCTCTCCGCTGCTGCTGTCGTGCTGGTGCTGTCATACGTCTTGTGCGCGCGTCGGCCGAATTCGAACTGTAAATGCGAGAGCACTGCTCACTTTGAACGGACGTTGTTGGCTCGTTGGGCCGCAGTGATGCCCAATCAGCCTTTTCCTGTAAGATCTAGCTTTTTTCAAATTCAAACAACGGGCAGGGGAATTTTAGTTGATTTTTTTTGGTCAGTGTAGCTTGTTCTAGGCTTTTTATTAAGATATTAAAAAAAAAATTGTAATGAGACTGAAATAATTCATGTCGAATTTTCTATTTTCATTATGTTTTCATACTAATATTACTCGTATGTATTATAGACTAATTTATAGTCAATTTTTACTTTTATAACAACTTATTCTAACTAAAAAAAATATTGGCAGCACTGCTAAATTGCTACAGGGCCAAGGTATATTTCATAAAAGGAAATCCGATTTTTTTAATATATGTACATACATGAACGATTTTTGTTGCAGCTTAAAAAAATCCAATCCAAGATATCCACACAAACGCGCAAAAGCGGTAAGAATAATGAATTCTACTTCCTATCCGAAATCATGTACATAACAATATTTTTGTAAGAAATATTTATGTTTTGTACTGCCTTACCTTCTGTTTAATATTCCTTGTACAGGAATGGCCCAAGGCTCTAGAGATGTGGGCAAAAGGCCCAGGAGGCAGTGAATGTAATTTTTGCAGAATTTCGGTTGTTTTTTTTTTCGCACAATCAGCGCAATTAAACAAATTAGACACGCACATAGAAGGCCAGGCCGCATGTCCTGCTGGGAGGGCAGCATCCTTGAGGTGGACAGAACAGCATCGCGCATTGCCGCATGCCGCATTCAGAATTCCGGAATCCCTCAAAACCAAGCATACGCGTGTATGTGTGTGTGCAGGCAGCACGTAATTGCAGTTAAATTTTATTGCAGTCACGTAGCAAAAGGAAAAAGAAAACAAAAAACTAAAGAGTACCCATGCCGGTGGGCGATAGCAAACAGTGAACACCCTAAAACTATATTTTAGAAAACAAATTTTTCTTTTGAAAGGAAACGGAAGCTGTAGGTACAATTTATATTCTCAGGAAACCAAATATATAGCATATTATTTTCTTCAGTCGAAATCATATTTATATGTGTAATTTTTAGATTAACAATGTTATAATTAAAATGAATATTATAATAATTCCTACCTTTTCTCAATTAAAAGAAACCCTACTTGGAGTACTTTTTGTATTGGAATTGTGATCAGTCTTCTAGGTTCTGTTCCGAACAAATCGCCCGGCAAAGCGAAGTGTATCTCCGCACCGGTTTAGGGTATGCCAGAAAGTAAATGAAAAGAAAGATGCAGGAAGAGGCGACGACAGCGACAGCGACCGCTGCGCTGTGCTGCTGCTTCGGCAGAAACAAAGAAGGAAGCAACAACTGCGCTGTTTCTGTTTCTGCTGCGCTGCTGCTTTTGCTGTTGGACTTGAATAAACAATTTAATTTCTTTCTTTCTCTTCAGCCTTTCTCGTGCAGCGCCCCCCCTCTTTAGAATTTATGCATGGTGAAAGTAATGAGGGGAAACACAAAAGTTAGTACCGCAATTAATGTGTCGGCACTTTCTTGTTCTTGGCAGCAGAGAAGAGAAGATCAGACCAGAGAAGCAGCATCACCAGGCAGCGCAGATGGCCCAGAGATTAATCATCGGCGTGTCTTTCTTTCTGATTTGACTTTTCAGCGTTGACTCATTTTCTTTCCCCTAAAAATCTCTGTACCTTTTACAACACTAAATGGGGAATATATTCAATTACCTATGTCAAACACTAACCCCCCCTTCCAAAGTTTAACCAAACTCCTTTTCCACATAGCCCGCCCCCACACACACACCACACACACAAATGCTGTCGCTGCCAACGACAGCGTCACAGAAATCTAATAAGAAAACCAATAAACTGCACAAAAGACAGCAGCGGCAGCGGCAGCAGCAGCAGCAGCAGCAGTAGCAGCGATGCATTGTACTTTTCTTGTTGTTTTTGTGCGTGTGTGTGTGTGTGTGTGGGAGCGATTTATGAAGTATAAAAGAAATGAAGAGAGAAATAACACACTCACACACACTCATGAACGCATATGCATTAGGCGAGTGTTCAAGAGAGACAGAAAGAGATACGATACTTACATTTGTTATTGCTGTTGTTTCCTCAAGATTTTGTTGCTGTTGTTGCAGATGTAACTGTTGTTGTTGTAGTAAATGTTGCTGTAATAGTTGTTGTTGGGCTGCCAGACCGCCAAAATCCATATTACCAGAAGAATAGAGTTGGGTTCGGTCGGAGGGCGCGGGTGGTGTTGTATTTAGGAGTACGGCAGGGGCACTGCAGCTGTAAAAGCGAGCGAGTGTGCTCTCTTTGTCTGCAGTCACTGCTCTCTCTGTTTCTCTGGACACTCTGCCTGGCTCTCTCTGTGTGAGCCTTTTGTGCGATCGCTGACGTTTTTTTTTTATTGCACACAAATTTTTGAAGAAATGCAATTGAAAAGGAGAAGCAGGTTTCTCTGTCTTGTTTTACACTTATTCGTCGTAATTTAAACAAATTTGAGTCGCCTTAGCCGTTGGTTGGCTCGATTTGCATTTCGCTTTTGATGCAGTTTCTTGTTTCTTGAAAACCGCTCTTCCTGGGCCTTCCCTCCCTCCCTCTCTCTATCACTTCGCTTCGGGTGAAGTGCGTGGGCGAAGAAGCCGAATGGAGCACGAGCACAGTTTATGCACTGGGGAGAGCCAACAACTACACCCACACATGCACACATGCACACACATGCAATTCTCTGGCTCTATCTCGCTCTGGCACACACACTCTCTTATTGTTGGATGTGTTGCCCAATTGCACAATACACTTCCCCTCACACTCCTTTCCCAACGTCTCACTCCACACACACACACACTACACTCCTTTTCTGACTTCCCACTCCTTTTCCGACTTCTCACTCCAGTTTCGAATATCAAATCCAATTGCAAGTTGCGTTTGTGTTTTGTTGGGCTTTTCCTCCTTAGGCTCCTTATTTTTCCAACGAATAATTGTATGTGTGCAGTGTGTTCCTTTTACTACTCCGTTTTGATAGAGTGTTTCTTCCTTGCAGTACCCCACGTTATCCGCCCTTTTCCACGCGTGAGTGTGTGATTTTATATTATTTTCTACTCCTCCTTTATGCGGCGTCAGTCAGCCTGTTTGTTGCTGCTTCTGCTGCTGCATTTTGTTTGGTTATCATTTTTTTTAAACACTTTCCAGCCATGCGATGCGTAGGGGATTTTCCTTAGACACAATTGCACTGCATTTTCATATTAGCTGTCGCGAACACTACTTCTCTTTATACTTTATCCTATATACTATATATTCGTGTGTGCAATTGAACAGAAAAAACAAAACAAAATAAACAAATGGTGTACTATTATTGGGGGAAAAACTACGAAAAGTTTCGTGCGTAAATTTTCACGACTCTTCCTAGAGGTGTCAAAACCAAAGAGGGCACTATCGATAGTATCGATATTTTGCTGCTAGCCTCTACTATCGATGGTTTTGAGACTATCATGATAGTATCGAGCTACAGTCGTTGCGCTTTTGATATATTTGGAT